ATTCGAGCAGGGAAAGAAGAAGATTGCTATATCTGAGACCAAAGTACAAAATAGATCCAGAAGTCGAGGACTTTAGCTACAGAGCTTAGGTTACGCATATGACAAAAGGAAGGCAACTCTGCAGATGATTTCAGCGAATTGTGTGGAAAAAATTGCTTAAACACAGAGACAAAATCAGGCGAAGGATCTATTACCAGAAAAGACGCAAGGGATCAAAGTCTACAGAGACCGATCTTCAGGAAAGAAGCTGAAAGGAATAGAGTCGATCAACACGAAACGCCGGCTTCACTTGAGCAAATGCGGAGAACGGCCGGATTCAGAGAATTCTCGCTTCAGGCAAAGGGGTCAACATTGAACCAAACCAACAAGTGGGGCCTCTGAATTTCATCTTTTATCCCCCAAGCAGTCACCAATGGCGTGGCCATTTCGGTCGGTTGGGTTATTTCAGTTATGGATATATTAGCTTCGGTTATTAGTACATTCTGTTTTTTTTTAAACTCATTTTTAAAAAAAATTGTCGTTTTTTTATTAATTTTTTAATCGGTTCGATTTCGATTTTTTTAGATTTAAAAAAATATAACCGTTCAATTTTTATGTCGAATTCAGTTCGATTATGGTATATCTTAATCGGTTCAGTTCGATCACGCCTCGTCACCAAGCAAGCCAAGCACCACGAAAGCTTCTCATAGAGGGTTTCACGTTAAAGACTCTCACCGACTCGGAGTCTTTCCTGTCCCTGTTCTGTACCCAGCTATTACCAAGTTTGATGCAAGTTCCTTTTTTGGTTTTGCAAGGTGGTTTTTTTTTCACCTGCAAATTACTAGAAACAGAGTTCTAAGTTGCAATAGCTTGATGCATTTTGGATTAGCCATTCTTCCCGGGTTTTTTTTTTTGTAAGCTCTCCTGCTTCGCCACCTTATTTCTCACATCCGTTCTGTTCACCTCTCATCTCCTGCAGAAAACAAACAGCGTGTGTGAGCGAAAAAGTGAGCTAACCGAGAAGAAAGAGCCTTTCGCAATCTCCTCCTCAAATCAGCACAGTATCCAATTGGCTTTCCACAGTTTTCCCTCCACCTCTCTCTTTATCCTACTCACAATTCCGGAGACAGTGCTTCTTGGTCGTCCTAGGGATCCCACGGGATCTACCCCTTTGATCTGTCACGCCAATTCATCGACTCATTACGTATTGTCTTTAATCGTAATGTAATTGCTGTTGTGGATACCAAACATGATGAAACCAAAGGAAATTAAGTTTGTCCAAAAGGAAACTGCAGGTAGAGAGACGTCTGCCTATTAACAAATGGCATGTATTAACACCCTCCAGCCTTCATCAGTGTTTTACTGTTTTGTTCACAGCTTGAATGGGTCAAATGTGAAATTACACAGTACATTACACTGGTAATGCAAAGACTGAGGATATGAGCGTGTTTAAGCAGTCAAGCCGAAACTCCGTGCCTGCATTATAGAGTTCAGAATATCTGGAAAAACAAGCTTGTAGATCCATCACCAAATGATCTAAGATCCGCTGGCTTCACCAAGGCCCTGCACAATGGACATGTCCTTTCTCTCTCAAACCTGTAAAAACACACTGTTCAGTCAGTCTTTAAGATACAAACGAGTAGAGCAAAAACAAAACGTTATATCTTGTTCTTCATAAGAAGTTAAGAACCCAGTTCATACTAGCCTGAGATCAATTATCACAAGCTCATCACCCTTTCTGCGAATCAGCTTTAAGGCAGAAACACAAATACAATCTTAAAAGCCAGTAATCAATACAAAACTTGATTGATATGGGATCCTAACACCCCACCACAACTCTAACTCTGACATCCTTCTCCAACCACTCTCAACCTTCCATATCGCTCCTTCCACAACACAGGTATTTGATAAGTGCTGGCCTATGCTAGGCTCAAATCATTTTTCACAAACTTGCGTGTAAAAATCATCTCAAAGAACTAACTACTAAAGTGCCAGGGGGGTCCTAAAAGTTTATTGGAGCAATCAAGACAGAGATAGGTAGCCAATGAGACCACCACAGTTTTATAAGTAACTGCAGCTTTGACCATAGGAGGGTAAATTGCAGCCATTTCAAACAAGGACAGAAGCAAATGCAGTATAAGAAATGTCTCACCACTCCGAAACACAATCTTCACAAAATATGTGTTTACAGCGAAGGAGAATAGGGGCATGCATCTTCTCCTGACAGATAGCACACAGATCGCCCACCGCATTCACCTGTAGAGCTAAATGACCTTTAGTTTATTTGTCTTGAATCATATGGGACCTAAGAAAAAAACCTCAAGGGAAATAAAGTGCACCTGCTCTGCCGTCGCATAAGACCCATAATGCACTTCTTTGCGTGATAATGCCTTCAGTGCAGTAAAGAAGGATTGAACCTGAAATTCAATGCCAATTTGCTCTCAGCTCAGGAAAGAGAGGGAAGTAGTGTAAATCAGAGAAAACAACAGTTGAAGGATGTAAAAAAAACCCAGTGCTTCCTAAGCAACAACCTTCTCCACTACTGAAGTGAGCTTGAAAGTTAGGTACAACCCTGTCATAAGCGAGGAAAAGAGGCTTCCGTATTCTTTGTTTAAGAAGAAACGGTACCAGACAGGGGTAGGCAACAACGAGCGGTACAGAAGCATCAGATACTCAACTAACGTTAGCATTTGACCCTGTATAAAAGCAAACGAGCAAAGGATGTCAAACGCCCCTCCCCCTCAAATACATGTGCACAGCAAGCTCCCCTTATTGTAGATAAAACTAATGAGACATAATATAAAGTTTCTCTACATCACCTGCTTGCGATAATTTCGACCTCTACTGTTCTTATAATACATCAATAGAAAACATTTCAGCACCATTGCTGCCTGCCGGACAAGTGTATCTGAGAGGATAAATGTAAATAACTTGAGTCAGAGTTAAATGATCCCACATGGACACAAATGTCCAGGAATGACATAAATTTTAAAAACCTTAACATTATACAATTCCAATAGCGACTGAAAACCAATGCAGCAAACAATTTGCTGGAGAAGATACACACCGTTCACCACTATGATAAAGATGGCGTGCCAGAAGGGTGGTATGGACTTAGGAGGCAGCATGATCAATGGAAATAATAGATCATCCTCCCAAAACCACCAATAAACACCGATGGCATGAGCTGTAAATGCTACAGAGATGCCTATCAAAGCTGAGATCTGTCGCTCCCCCTGTATTCAATATATGCTTGTGTCTAAACTAACCATTTCCAATAATGAGTCGGAAAAAAAAACAAAAAGAGAAAGAGAAAGTAAATGCACTATGTAAAACCTTCAAAGATGTTTGTTTCTTTAGAATATCATTTGACTTGAACAGGACGCCAGCAATCCAAATTGTGACAAAGAAACCTGAATATGAACCACACAAATGAGCAAGAGTCACAAAACTAAACAAGGCCGCAAGCCATGGAAGACATACAAAGGACAGTAAAAGGAGACAACTGATTATTTATGTTTGTCATAAACTCAACAACTAACATTTTTTTCATCATTAGCACAACAATAGGACAACAAGCTGAGGTTCACAGAATAAGCCAACCACAAGCAAATTAAGGAACCACCACAACAACAACACCAACAGCAACAACGAAATGGCATCTGAATTGGAGCCACTCTTCTAAAGATTATTTAGAGATGCCGCTGTCGTGTATTGCATTTGCATCAAAGACAATGGAAAATTAGATAAAATAGAATTATAAAGAGCATTACCCTGCAAATGCTGGCGGATAAAAACAACCAACAAAAGCAAAGAAAAGGGAAGAACTTGCTCGATCCATCTCGCAGCCTGCTGAATGTCATATCTCTGGTAAGGAGAATCTCGACTGTCAGAGCCTATGGCATCACCAGCTTCAGAGTCACCAACTGAAATGGGAGAAGCCTGAGATAACCCTTCTGCAGTAACCACAGCCCCACGGTCACCATGGTTTTCAGAAACCAACCCATCGATCTGATGAACAGAAACTTCACCCTGTCGATGTCCAGTGGCTTCTCTGACACTGCTTTCACCGTCAGTTTCCTGCTCCCCCGACCCAATGATCCTAATGGCAACCTCACCATTGGAGGAAGCAGCAGAATCATCAAGACGGCTCTGGTTTTGAAGACCGTCGTGGATCAGAATCTCAGCTTCCTGACCAAGAGGACCTGCTCTCGTTCGCAACAGACCCGAATACTCTAGCAAGGTAGATATGGGCGCCTGGATGATGTTAGAAGCCGAAAGTATAGAGTATCTTCTGGAATTCTCACTACTAAGAGAACCTCTCCTAGAATTTTCAGTATTGATGGCGGACGATTCCATTTGAGCAGGACCCCTAACCCTAAATCATATTTTGCACAATCCTTTAACACTTGCGGGAACCCAGCCGCAGAAAATTGCGTGTAATAAACAGAGACAGCAGAAAAAGAACGTACCTGCGACGGCGAGAACCAGACGACGAGCTTGTCGAGATCAAATCCAATATCTCATCCAGTATCCCGGAGAATCCTGGAGGAAAAGGAAAAATATCAGAAGTAAAGGGGGTAATCGCGTTGACTATGGTCTCAACGCCAAATCGCGTCCACAACAGAGGGAGCTAACGGAGCTACGAGGGATAGCGGAAAGAGGCGGAAGAAAGAGAAAACGACGGCGGAGATCCGGAGAGTTGAGTCGCCCTCTGAGCTGGAGCGGGCAGAGAGAGAGAGGCGAAACGCGGAGAGAAGTAACAGAGGGAACAAAAAAAAAAGCAAGTGAACGCCAATTATTATTGTTCTTTGATTATTCGCATCTTGGGTTGACTTTTTGGATGAGCCGACCCTATAGCCCATATTACTTTTTTTTTAAAGCCCTTACGAAACTAATTGTTCATATTCTTAAATGGGCCTATATCAAAGTCTAAGCCCTTTAAACCCATCAACATAGTTATCCATAAATAAAAATTATTTAGGCCCTTAATCCATGATGGGCTTGATATTTTTTCACTTTTCATTTTTTTTAAACAAGCAAACACATCTATGATCTATATTGTTTATGATAATAAAAATTATTCTGCTAAAGTTTTATATTTTATATAATTTTTTTATTTTATATTTTCTCAAATTTTAATTATTATTTAAAAAATAATAACATAACATAAAAAATAAAAAATTGTACTATTTGTATGGGAGAAGACTGGAAAAGTAACAGATGAATAAAAAATAACAATTAATAAAATAAAATTTTGGTCTAATATTTTTGTAATATTTAAGTATCTTTAATGATATAATTTTGAGTAAGGGGATTGTATATTATAAAAAGGAGAGAGAGAGAATGATAAAGAGGAAAGAGAGAGAATGACAAATAAAGTGAACTTAGAAATCATAATTGATTGAACACAGCAACAAGAAAACAAACAAATATAATATATAATTGGAAGGAGTAAACCGTATAAAAAAACTAATAAACTCGTAAATTTTATATCACATATATTTTTTCACCATATTTTTGTGTTTATTTCTCTAGGTATGATATACACGCGTGCGTGTCTGCCTATATATAGAACTAGAAATTGATAAATTATTCTAATATAATAAGTTGTAGATCATATATCCATGTGTATTTATTTATTTACATATACAAATTCAATGTGTTGCTGTTTCAAAATCATATAAAATTGAGTATAAAGAATTCAATATTTTATTTTTATTAAATTTATATACAGCTGAAGATAGAATCTACTAAATGGAGAATGTAATAGTAATAGTCAATTTTCGTTCATTAAATATAAATAATATTTACATATTTCATATCTGTTTAGGATTCGATTATTAATAACAAAATCATCTAGCAAATAACTCAGAAAAAGAAAGAAAAAATTAAATGAAACAAGAGCGACATTTTAGTTTTTTATTCTGGCCAGACTTGTTCAATTGATCTGATATTTTTTAAGATTTTATATGGGTCAGCCACAGATTTCTATGTTGGCCGGCAAAAAGAAAAACAACTGTAGAGACTAATGGGGTTTTTTTTTTAGTGTAAGTGGATAATCACAGACAGTTGAGGGGTGTCTCAACGGCACATTTTATAAATAAACATAAATACGACGGATCTTTCTCATTTTTTTTCTTTTGTGCAGGTTAAAGATTTTATGCTACTTTTTATTTATTTATTTATTATACCATCAGGATTAACAGCCTGTGTATGAGAGAGAAGGAAACAGGCTGTATATGTGTAGAAATGGGAGTGAGAATACTCTTTCATTGCCGGCGACCACTAAGCCAACAGTGAAGGCTCATCTATCTCCTTCCCCTGCTGAGAAGAAAGAGCCTTTCGCAATCTCCTCCTCAAATCAGCACAGTATCCAATTGGCTTTCCACAGTTTTCCCTCCACCTCTCTCTTTATCCTACTCACAATTCCGGAGACAGTGCTTCTTGGTCGTCCTAGGGATCCCACGGGATCTACCCCTTTGATCTGTCACGCCAATTCATCGACTCATTACGTATTGTCTTTAATCGTAATGTAATTGCTGTTGTGGATACCAAACATGATGAAACCAAAGGAAATTAAGTTTGTCCAAAAGGAAACTGCAGGTAGAGAGACGTCTGCCTATTAACAAATGGCATGTATTAACACCCTCCAGCCTTCATCAGTGTTTTACTGTTTTGTTCACAGCTTGAATGGGTCAAATGTGAAATTACACAGTACATTACACTGGTAATGCAAAGACTGAGGATATGAGTGGTGTGAATGTGACTGGTCAATCAACGGCCCGCTCTCTCGATGCCCTTCTCCAGGATTACGCATTCAGGGTGTTGGTTCGTCCACAGACAGGCATTCCTTACGACGGCACTGTCCCGACCAACCTGACGGGCATCAAGATTGCCGCCATAAGGCTCAGGAATGGAAGCTTCAGAAGACGTGGAGTCGCCGCTTTCAAGGAGTTCTCCATTCCCAGTGGCGTCATCGTCAAGCCCTACGTGCAGAGGCTCGCCTTGGTTTACCACAACTTGGCCAATTTTTCTCAATTTTATTATCCTCTTTCCGGCTACGACTACGTTGCTCCGGTCCTTGGTCTTCTGGCTTACGACGCTACAAATCTCACAGCCACGAACTTGAAGGAGCTGGACATGAGAGCGTCGGGGGATCCCATAAGGATCGAATTCTCCAAACTCAGACGCATTCCTCAAGGCTCAAGCGCAAGATGCGTCAGGTTTGATTTAGAGGGTCTCGTGATCTTCAGCAACATGGTTGGGAACACCTGCGAGACCCTGCAGCAGGGGCATTTCTCGATCGTGGTGAAGTCAGGGGACAAGTCCAGCCCCAATAGTTGGATAGTCATCGGATCAGTGGGAGGAGCCTTATTACTGCTGGGGCTATTGACGTTGTTCTTGGTGTGGTGGATTAGGAGACACAGGCTTGAGATGAGAATACGAGAGATGGAGAGAGCCGGAGAGACAGGAGATGTGCTGAGGATAACACTCGTCGGCGATACCAAGGCCCCCACCGCTCCTACAACTCGGACACAACCCATTCTCCAGACTGAATAAACTCCCAATGTTTTGTTGGTTGCGTCATTGAGCTGTCCCAGCATCACGATCCGATTAAGTCTGTCAGTTTCTGTTGAAGAACAAAGATTCGGATTCCCTATACATTCTCATGCTCTTATACTCATGTCTTTTTAGACAGCAATTGTACCTACCTCATCCTTCTGACCAAAAGAGGAAAAAAATCAGCGCTTTTTCATCTCAAGTATTCACGATCAACGATTCCTAAACGTCACATTTTTCTACGACATTCACAAATCTTCAGTCAGGACTTTGAACACTGATTGATGCTAGCACTGACGGGGCAAAGGTTAACACTCTGAAAGGAGCCTTGAATAGAAGACAGAGGGTCCCCATGTGAACCAAAAAACAGAGGCCCTGTCTGGACTCTCAACCCTTTGAGCGTTCATCGCTTATACGCTCAGACCCATCTTTACCATTAACCATAAGTGGGGGAGGCATGTGATAGTGATAATGATGCAATCCTCTCCCTTCTTCAGTAATCTGCAAAACCAGTCTATGCTCCTCATCCCAGATCCCAGTGGAGACGTTGCATTCTACAACATGTCATGAGCCTCCCCCAACACAAGTCAACAGTCATAACTGTCCAGCTTTTGGGGATTTTCAAATGATTACCATGAAGTCTGATGGGTAACAGACCAGAACGATGCTCCAACCCAAAAGCACACGCCTCAATCTTTCCAATCTCACTCTTTAGACAGCTTGTCCTACCAATCGTTTGCAGGGAAAACATGTCATTTTTGGAAAAACCAAAATCAACTCTAACCCTACCCTGCCCTACCCCTACCCAACCACATAATGCACGTTCACTGTAACTGTCATGCTAAAGTTCTTGTAAGGATGCTGATTCCCATTCTCTGAGATGCTTTGACTTTGATGAGGCAATCCTCCAGAAAGTATTACAAGGCATGGATAATACACAGACGGAAAACACCTTTCAATAAGCCAACCAAGTAGTTCATCTTTCCAGACACGCATTCACAAAACGAGAGTGAATTTCAGTTTCAGTTAACCTTGCTACCTTAGCAAGCACAATAATCAGCAATTATAAGAAAAAATAACCTCGTACAAATCAACAAACTTTTACAGGAGAAAAGGGCCTCTTGTAGCCGAAAAGCTTTATCCAAAATCACATACCAAAGGAAAGTCAAATGGGAAGGACACATATAGACCCTCCAGCATCTTTTTCAACAAGACACAGCTCTCTGGAAAGCTCTTTATTAGTTACTGATATTGCCAACCTCAAGTCCCTGCACTAAATAGGCTGGTTATTCAGCTTTGAGTTAAAACAAATTCCACAAGGATAAAAGCAGCACTAGAAAGATGATTTCCAGGCGGACAAGGCACAAGTGGCATGGAAGATTCAAAGGATAATAGCGGACTTAGAAAGATTTATGATTGGGGGCAAAGTTAATTTCATAATAGTAATTTTAATTATTTTATGGGGGCATATAATAATTTTGTGTAAAATTTTATAAATTTTGTAAAGAAAATATTTTGTTTGTAAAAAAAGGGTGGGGGCCTGTGACCCCACTGCTAAAGAGTTGGATCCGCCCATGATAATGAACTAGGCATGAGTACATAAAAACAGTAGAGCAGCAGCAATAGCTAATGATCCTTAAAACAATTCCATCTCTGTGCAGGCTGGACGCTTAAGGAAGTCAGTAGAGTGGCTTATTAGCTATAGACACATCCCAATTGAGAGCCAAAGAGGTCCGCAGGTGGAATTTTCAAGCATCGGTATGGCAGGTGAAGGAACACGAAAAGGGGGTAATGTACTAATATATGTAGAGTAGAACATGACGAAATAAGTAAAATTGAAATTTCGGGAAACGGAGAGAGACGAATCCTAACAGTAAAATTACGGAAGGAGAAAGAGAGGGTGTGACCTGGGAAGGGGATCAAGAGGATTTGTCCAAAACCTTCTTGTCGCGTCTCTCCATGGCAACATCCCACTCGTCGTGACCGATGTGCTTCGGCTGCATCGATGATCAAATTCGGATCAAACAAATTCAAAACCCTAGAAGTAGAAGCAGAAGAAGGGAAAAGGGGAATACCCGTCCATGGTAAGCCTTGTGGATGTAGTACTGAGAATTTCCCATAATGCATAGCATTCCCGCAATGATTCCGAGAGGCAGAGCCGCTTCGAGCCACACCAACGCCATTTCCCGATTTCGATCCAATGAAGAGGCGACGACAACGCTACCCCTTATTCACTTTCCGAATCTGGGCCTAGTGGACCGAATTTCTTATTTTTTTTCTTTTTATGGGCTCCACTTAACCGTTACATATTAAGGCCCATCGTAATATAAGGAAAAAAAAAGAGGTGGAAATCGCAAGAAAACATTTATATGGCACTTTATTTTTTTTTGATGAAATATGAAATGTGCATTTATTAACCAAAAAAATTATTGTTTGTAGTTTATTTTTGAAATCGGTTAACAAAATAAAACTTTTATGCCTATTGCTTTCCTAACAAAAAACATATCAGGGAGGCCTTGTGATATAATATCAATCCTGTAGTAACAAATTTTCATGAGGTTGCATGCTCGTTTGGCAAGATAAGATAATGTTCCGAACTAGTCGGTCCAGCTTTTGAATGAAATCTGACATCTGATGTAGTAAGAGTGGGGGTTACACTAAATCTTCTCTGCAAAGTGGCGCCATATATTGGAGCTAAATTGGCATTGAAGGAATAGATGGTTGTGCGTCTCGTCGTCCGAATAACACAACAAATAGTCTTTTGCTGAAGTCCCCAACGGTGTAGCCGGTCTCGTGTCGTAATCTTCCCAAGAATGTCTGCCATTGAATAACATCATGTTTCGGCGTTGTTTACTTGAACCAAACTGCGCTTGCCCAAGGAACTTCGACTGATGGTGAACGTAAGAGCCTCCAGGTTGCCGAGGAGATGAATTTTCCAGCGAATAGATCTTGTCTTTGCTTCCATTGCATTTTGTCAGGCCCATTATCTGGTGTTGGAATAGGTTTCGTGGTTAAGATTTCGTGGATTCTTTGTGTTGCATTTGATCGTGCCGGTGGTAGCTTCCAGCCTTTCCCGTTCGTTGCTTCCCTGACCATCGCGTGGAGAGGGATTCGTAGTTCTCTCGGTCCAAGTTCCCCTGCAAAAACAATTAAAGGCCCAAGCTCTATCCAAGAATCGAGCCAAAAGTAGGTGGTGGCTCCGTCACCTATTTTGTGCTTTTTCTGACTTGCTTCCGTAGTCCAATTAGCTTCCGTAGATTCCAAGTATGTCGTGGCGAGGAGTTGATTGACCAGTAAGACCGCCGCTTGAAAATGTTGGCTTTGAGCCATGCTATCTTTATCCTTGGAGAATAGCAGCCACACCAATTTCATCCTTGCCGAATTTTATTTGTGATGCGGTTGGATGACAACCAAACAAAATCAAATGAATATTCAGTCTATAGGTGATTATTTTGTTGTGATGAGATTGTTGGAAGCAATGCCGAATTTTATTAGTATGTAATGCAAAACAGATGTAGCTTGGGTATCACAATCCGTTGGATGTATGATTCTCGATGCTCTTTCTCCTAAATTTGTGAATTGGCATATACCTTCGTGGACGTTAATTTCCCCAAAACGATATTTTGGTCGCTTGTCCAGTGGCAGAATCAATCACTTCCCTTTACGTTCTGTTTTGTTGTTTGTTGTACACGTACACACATGACATCTATGCATGCATGTTCCGCAAGCATTCTGCTTGAGAAAACATTCAATTTTGTATGTTTTTTCCTTTCAATTTCCTTTTTTTTTTCAGAAAATGACTTGACTAGAAGCAGATTCCACAAAAATAGGAAAATAAAAAAAAAGCGAGAAAAAATTGTTCAAAAGGGGTGAAAGATTTGCAAAATCGACCTTCAAGCGGGGCATTATCAGAAATGCCCTTATTTTGCTACATTAACTTCATGGCATACCCCTCACTTGACGGGAAAAAAAAACATTTCAGACAATACCTTTATAAAATTGCTCTTTCCATAATACCCTCGACACCTTTTTTTAATCTCTCGATTTGCGTTTCTCTCTCTTCTTGTTTCTATCTCCTCACGCAGTTTCCCACTTTCTCTCGCGATAAATTCTCGCCGAAAAAAACCCAGAAATTACCGGCGAAATCACAGCTAATCTACCGGCAAAATCCTTCGATTTGCCTCGCGTTTCTCTCTCTTCTCGTTTCTCTCCCCATAAATTCTCGCCGAAAAAAACCAGAATCTACCGTCGAATCTACCGGCGAAATCTCACCGATTCTACCGTCAAAATCGCCTCAAATCACAGCAGTTCAGTGAGATCTGTATAGATCTAGGAAAAAGGCAAGTTGTCATCGCACAACCCAGTATTTATTTTCGGTTTAATTCGACCTAACATGTGTATAGATATGACCTCATTTTTCTTATATATATCACTAAAACCAGTATTGACTGGTCATGTTGGTCACACTAGTAACGTTGGTCACGTTGGTCACACTGGTCTCGTTGGGCACACTGGTCACGTTGGTCACTCTGGTCACACTGGTCACGTTGGTCACACTGGTCACGTTGGTCACTCTGGTCACACTGGTCACGTTGGTCACACTGGTCATGTTGGTCACTTTGGTCACACTGGTCACTTTGGTCACTCTGGTCACACTGGTCAC